GGGGGGGGGGGGGGGGGGGGGGGGGGGGTAGCGTGAGTAATGCCATATTCAGGTGTACGTAACCCCGGGGGTTCCAACAACAGCCTGAACATTCTTCGATTGCAGTATATGAATACAGCGTGCGTACCATGGGTTAGCGGGACTTGATGTATCCATGTGCTATATATATACTCCACGAACGCCCGCCGCCTGAGCGAGGGACAGGGGCGGGTGGCGCAAACATGTGCCACACGTGCAAACCATCCAACGCAGGACGTACAAACCATCCCACGCGCGTCGGCGAGAAGACACGCTCGTTTGGTTCGTAGCTCTCACGGGATGGCGGCCCGTGGCACCGGTTGAACTGGATCGACTCATTGCTAGCCCGTGGCACCGGTCGGGCTCGATCGATAACTCATGCTAGCCGTTGGCCTAGGAGGTCTCACACAACGATAAGGAGCGGAGACTCCGTCGTTGTCTTGACGGCTGAACGAGGTACTCACGCTGCACCTTACCTTACCCACAGCAAATGGCAACAACAATGACGACAACAGCAACAAGAGCAATAGAAGTACATAACAAGAGCAACTACAGCAGCAGCAGCAGCAGCAGCATGAACAACAGCAGCAAAATAACGGCAACACCACCACCACAACTAAAAACAACAACAACAACGACAACAACAACAACAACGACGACAACAACGACAACAACGACAACAACGACAACAACGACAACGGCATCGTACACGACTCACCTGCTGGACGAGGGAGGCTACGATCCTGCTCCATTCCGCCTGCCTCGACGGCTCAATACCCCCACTCGCCGCCACCAGTTGCCTAACCATGCGCTGGAACAAATCACGATTTGCGGTAGAATGGCGCAAGGAACGCGGTTAAGGGCTATAGCATGATATGAGGACTGAGGAAAGACTACAGAAACATGTTCCAGCCACCGTTCTTTCGCAGTGCAGCCATGGTTTGGCCACAGCGAATCGGGTAAAAACAGGACCACAAACAGGACCAAAAAACTGTTCCGCGGGGGGGGGGGGGGGGGGGGCGTTCCTCTTCCAAAAAAAAAACTGGGGGGGGGGAAAGGGGGGGGCTAAAAAACAAAAGGGGGGGTAAAAAGGGGGGTCCAACCCCCCCCCCCCAAAAGGGAAATCGGGAAAAAAAAAAAAACCCCCCCACTTTCCTGGGGGCCCCCACAAAAAAAAAAAAAGGCCGGGGGCCCCCCCCCTAAAAAAACTTTATTTTGGGGCCCCCCCCA